CCACCCACCCACCCACCCCACCCACCCACCCACCCACCCACCCACCCACCCACCCACCCACCCACCCACCCACCCACCCACCCACCCACCCACCCACCCACCCACCCACCCACCCACCCACCCACCCACCCACCCACCCACCCACCCACCCACCCACCCACCCACCCACGCACACACGCACACACGCACACACTCATCCTTGAGGACTGCTCTCGACGCCCTAGAACAAAAACAGGCCGGCAGGTCTCGTAAAGCACGATGCCCAAAGCCCACACCTTGGCAACGGAGAACAAACTGGAGGATGTGGGTATGTGCAACAAATGGAACCAAAATAAGTGGTTTTCCGTTCTGTTTTCCTTGAACAAGCCTGACAAGGTGACAAGGGTTTGTCATATGTGATGTGCGTGTGTGTGTGTGTGTGATACTTGTTCAGGGTATCTTTTTGTTGGATTGGCTTACAACACCAAAGGGACACTGACAAACCAATTAGGAGGCCTTCGACCACTCGAAGAATCAAGCTGTATGTGTATAACAAGGGCTCCTTAAGAGCCGCTAGCAGTTTGCATGTACCCCCCGTTTTTTTCTTCCCCCGGACGGGTAGGTGGGATGGGCTAAGCGGGTGAAGGGTTGCTTGAGGCCTGGTTCGCTTAAAGTGGGTTTGGCTTTGGATTTAGCTGCAGGTGTAGACTCGCCTTGAGGTTCTTTTGCCGTGCCCGGTAATGCACGGGGATGCCATTGGGGGGGAGGGCTAGTGAACGGCGAGTCTGAACATGAGGAGACTCCAAAATGGTTAGATTCCTGGTGGTTTCCCACCAACAAGGGTATCCTCCAAAAAAAAGGTCAAGCTGTATCCCAAAAAGGGTATTCTCCCAAAAAAAGAATCCTCAAAAAACCGGCATCCTCAAAAAACGGTACCCTAAACCCATCCTCCCAAAAAGGGCACCCCAAACCCAGGGTATCCTGCAAAACGGGTACACACCGCATACTCACCTTTCCTGGACCAAAAAGGTGATGTTTCAGGGAGCCCTGTTCAATGGGCCCAGGTAGACGAAACACACCGCCGTTCCTCCATTTGCTCAAGTCTGGAAAAAAGTAAAATATATTTCCAGTAGTGATAGATTCCCTTTGAAGCCAACAAGGGAAAATCAAAAAACATTCTTAAGCAAATGGAAGTGTTCCAATGACCCTGCTAGACGAAACACACCCAAAAAAAGGTACCCTCCTCAAAAACAGGTACACACCGCCGTTCCTCCAGAGGCCTCTCGACTCCTTGGCCGCCGGCGTCCACTTCCAGGCCGTAGCCCTTGCCGCGCATGATCTCGGGGGCCATGTAGTGGGTGGTGCCTCCGGAAAAGCGGCCGAGGTGCGTAATTTCTCTGCCATTCGCCCTGGCATTCGCCCTTAGCCTGGCACAGGTGGGAGAAAAACTAAGGGACAAAGGTTTGGGCTAGGTTTAGAGTAGGCTTGTAGTCCGTTCAAAGCTGGTTCAGGCCCGGCATCGTTTTGACATCCTCAGCATCGTTTTCAACATTCTCAGCATCACCTGGTTTTGATTTAGGCCGGGTTTAGGGTGGGTTCCAGGTTGGCTCAGGGTTGGCTCCGGGCGGGCTCCAAACCTATTGAGAACAAATTTGGGGTGGCTGTGCTTGCGGCAGATGGTTCAGTGCTGGTTTATGGTGGGGCTTCTTGGGGCTAGTCTCGGGCTTCGGCCACGGTTGTGTGCAAAGCCACGACCGTGGCCGAAGCCAATTTTAAACCTACGCGAAACCGGCCCTAAACCCACCCGAGACCAGCCCCAAGAAGCCCCACCATAAACCAGCACTGAACCATCTGCCGCAAGCACAGCCATCCCCAAATTTGTTCTCAATGGGTTTGGAGCCCAGCCGGAGCCAACCCTGAGTCAACCTGGAACCCACCCTAAACCCAGCCTAAATCAAAACCAGGTGATGCTGAGAATGTTGAAAACGATGCTGAGGATGCAACCAACAAACCAACCAGCCAGCCAGCCAGCCAGCCAGCCAGCCCACCAACCAACCAACCAACCAACCAACCAACCAACCAACCAACCAACCAACCAACCAACCAACCAACCACCTGCCAGGGTTAGCCCTGTGCCAGGGCTAGGCAAAAAAAAACACCATCCTTTCCCGGAAAAGCGAACGAACTCAAAACACGGCAAACCGACGCACGCACCCACCCAGCCACCACAAAAAAACAAAGCGAACTAACAAAAAACACAGCGCCAACGCAGCTACCCAGCCAGAGAGAAGGACACAAAGAAACAGGGTTCAGATCCAAGCGCTGCAAACAGCTAAGGAGCAAGGGGTGGGGAGAGACTAGGTCCTCCAGATTTGAGAGGTTCGAATCAGTTGGTACCAACGACTTTTTTCAGGAGGTCTAGTGTAGTAGGGGAACTCTCCCAACCAAAAAAGGGTGAGATAGGCACTACTGGGGGACCCAGAAGGAAAGAACCCAAGAAACACAACAAGTAAACACAGAAACCAAAGAAGAAAGGAAGGAAGAAACAGCGAGAGAGAGAGAGAGACAGAGAGGGAGAGAGAAAGTCAGAAAGAAAACCAAACAAAGAAACAAAACGACGAAAGACAGAAAGGAAGAAACAAGAAGAAAGTAAGAAAGACAGAAATAAGTGAAGGAAGAAATGCATAACTGAATAAACAACACCCACACACGCACACGCACACGCACACGCACACGCGCACGCACACGCACACGCACACGCACACGCACACGCACACGCACACGCACACGCACACGCACACGCACACGCACACGCACACGCACACGCACACGCACACGCACACGCACACGCACACGCACACGCACACGCACACGCACACGCACACGCACACGCACACGCACACGCACACGCACACGCACACGCACACGCACACGCACACGCACACGCACACGCACACGCACACGCACACGCACACGCACACGCACACGCACACGCACACGCACACGCACACCCACACACACACACACACACACACACACACACACACACACACACACACACCACAGGCCGACAAAGCAGATGTTCAAGTGCTGTTAATTCCCTTTGAAGAACCCAAAATAGGGCAGCGAGCCGCAAGCACTCGAAACACAACAAAAACTTTCAGCGTGCGTCTGGTCAGCGGGCATTGGCGAGTACCAGGGCGGTTGAGCCCATACTTCCTTGAACTGGTGAGAAAGTGTTGTCCAGAGAAGAGTACTTGGGCCATCGGGCTATCAGCGTGGACTGATTCCGCTGGGGCTTTTTGTGTTCACTTGATGGGCACTCATGGCACCGCGAACACGAGCTCAGCATTCAAACAGTTTGAATGAACGAGTTCAAATCGAGCGAGGGAATGGTCTTCCCGCGAAGTGCGGAGACCAAAGCAGCCCAAGGCTGAATGGACATGCTACTGTTACAGGGCGGCTCTCTGCTTTGACAATTTATTCAGGTGCTGTTTGAGAATGTGCTCTTCGCGCTGCTTTGAAGGACATGTTAGATTGCCGAAAGAGCTGCCAGAACCATCACTTAGCGCGAGAGGCGTTGTCCAGTTTGCTGGATGCTCGCGTTCGCTGCGCGCGGCAACACAAACATCAGCCTTTGAACGCTTCTCTGAGAGGGAGCGGTAGAAAAGATAGAAACAGAGCATCAAGCCATTCCTCGTTTACATGGCCAATGCTAATTCTGCTTTCCGAAAAAGAACTGGATCCGGATCAGTCAGTACTCGCCAAAGCTACAAGGCAGAAACAAACACGCCATTCCGAATTGGCTGAATCCGGATCAGTCAATACTTGCCTCACCGTAGCTACAAGCATGGCTCGGCTCAGTCGCCGCATCCAGTTCTGGAAGGCTCAGGAACCTCTAGGCTTGCCATGCTGATCCATGAGATCGACTCATGCTCGCGGCACCTGTTCCGCCAGGGCCTTGAGGAAATTTCAACTGGCCTTGCTCACTAAAGCTGCGCTTTCTATCGCCAGTCCGGCATCACACATGATGAAAACCATATGTTTGGCAGAACTTTGTATGCCCTACACTTCCCACTCCTGCTTCATACCTATCATTCTCCTCCCTTCTCCTCATCCCTCCTTTACAATAATTTGTTGGGGGGATGACTTTCCTATCTTGAAGATTTCTGGGTGTGGATGGGAAAGAGAGGGAAATGATGGCCCTTCCTCACTCCTCTGCATCTGTCTCTTTATCCTCGAGCAAACTGAGAGGCAAAAAGGAGAGGAAGGGATGGCATTCTGAGGCCACATCGTGCCTGTCGTTCCTCTCAGGAGCCATGCAAACAGGAAGGGAGGCCTGCGCCTTGACGCCACCGTTGGTGTTGCGCACCTCAAAGTCTGAGATCAGAGCAGAGGCACGCTCCATCAGCGTCTCCAGCCCATTAGGTTCCGGAGTCGGCTCATGAAGCCGAGCAGGAAGGCTAACTGATCTTCTTGACAGCGTGCGCAACTTGACGGTGATGAAGGTCTTTTCCACGCAACAGTACATGGCTCTATGCTGCCAATTCTCCTCTGAGCTATCTTCTTGGGCCACTGCTCCGAGCTGGCTAGCACTACTGGAACCGATGCACTTGTGCGACGCGCTTGATCCAACTCCAACATGCCCATACTTTCCAGAGCAATGCTCATAGACGCTCGTCCAAGGCGCGGTTTTTTAGAGGGCAGGGTTTGGGTACCCCACACTAAAGCAAGTCGTATTACGGTGATGGTAATTAGTGCTATTGACAAGAACCACAATTGCAGTCGGGTGATGTTTACGGGGGAATATAGGGAACTTCAGGGAACTTGAGCAAGAAACAAGATGGAACTATAGATGAATACCAGGACAAACATCTCGCACAGGCATATAACAGCTTCCACGAGCTATGGCACTGCATTCCAAAGACACGTTTAGAGGGGTTCCATATTTGCCAAATGGGTGTGAAAGTCCCAGTTGTTCAGTGGCCGGCTCCATGATTCTTATTCTTTTAAAGTCAACCTGTTTCTGGGCAACTGGGCATTGCTAGATGTTCCACAACCAGCCAAGTGTTTAAAAGGTTTCACGATGGGGTCCTTCCTAGATGCACCAGCGGGGTCAAAGGAAGGTTTGCTTACAGCGATGCCTCATGTCAGCTTCTTGAATCATACTTCTGGGCTGTTCAAAGGCCATCCTTAAACCCTTGCCTTGGGCAATGCATAGTGTCCCCTTTGTAGTGGTTTTCAACTGGCTACTCCATTTTGAACAGCGAAGGTAAATCCCCCAGATGAGCCGCCTCAAGCCTGCAGCCTGCAGAGATCCACTTTTTTGCCAACCCCAAAAGAAAAACAGGCTGCTCCATGTGCTATAAGAGCTCAACTGATTGGAGTGGGGTCCTGGGCAGGTGTACTTTAAAGCCAAATTCAGTCACGATCCTTCGGGATAAAATGTGCGTAATTATTTAGCCTCTTTCGCCCAGGCTATGCTTACTAGGCACCCCTTTAGAGAGGCGAAAAGAAGAAGCCTTCCGGGTGAGAGCTTCCATGGAATCGTATAGAAGGTACTCCAAACAAAGAAATAAATGCATATACTTATATGATCATGGGTCAAAATCCGAATCGCACCCCCAGTGAACATCCCAATCCCCGCTAAAATAGGCTCTAAAATGGGTGGTGAATTCACCTACCAACCAAAATGGAATCCCGAAACGGTTTTGACCCACAGCCATATCTCTTTCTTTTTTATTTTTTTGGGGGGGGGGGTTGAGTTCACGGTTCGCCTATTTTTTCCCAGGCCAGTACCGTGGAAATCCACAGGTAACATGCAAATGGGATTTGGGATTTGGCGGGTTTGGAGTTCGGAAGTTCGGGGAAGCTCCAAGTCTGGGGATATTTGGGCTAGTTTGTTCTTTTTGTTGGTTGCCTATGGTTGTCAAAAGAAGGGCGATTTCAGCGACCCATCGGGCCTATGGGCCTTTTAGGGGTGCCTTTTTGTTGGCCCCCCCCTCTTTAAGTGGCCCCTGACATGGGACGGTTGCGCTCCCTGCGTTGCACTGAGGCTCACTCAGGCCGCGGCCCACCAAGGTGAAAGTCCGGCCGCACTTGGCATCCAACTTCTTGGCGGTCCCAAAGTCCACCAACTTCAGGTAGCCCTGAGCTCCGTTTGGCCGTTTTTCGCCGTTTTCTTTGCCCCCCCTGTTTTCCCCTTGAAGGAACTGTTGGGAGGGGATGCGTTGGTTAGATGAGGTTACGTGGTTTCCCCATGTTTCAAGAACTAACCCTGAAAGGCTTTTGGGTTCAGTGGAATTCAACCGTAAGATGGCAATCGGACTCTTAAAGTGGTTCCCTGGGATTTATATAAACCAGTTCAATCAGGAAGCGTGTTTGTTTCAACATAGGGGGACCCCAACATGGCTGCTATCTTTGGTTTCCCTTCAAACCAATCCCGTCAAAACCAAGGCACCAAAGCCTACAAGTCAGGTTGCAGGGTAATTATGCAGTTGTTTGGCCAGCCCAAATGTTGGCCCTGGATGAATTGACCCGTCCTATGGCAAACGGGGGTGTTCCCGAACCTCACCAAAGCAGAAACACACCAGAGACAGACCAGGCAGAAGCATGGCCTGCTTTCTCCAACGAGGGGAGCTACCCCTTACTTACGACCCTCTTAATTAGTTCTCCCCAGATTCCGACCAGGGGCGGTACCCCTGAAAAGGCCCCAACAGCGGGTAGGCTACCTCCCTTGGATTGATTTATGAATGGGAAGCGTTGATTTGACCGGCTCCAATGGAACCCCTCAAGCATTCAGTGACGGGATTCCCCCCTCCAAAGTCGCAAAGGACTTCTGGTTCACCATCGCCACTTTTGCAGCTTCCAAACAAATATGGATCTCGGAAACCCTGAAAGACGACCAGGAAACTCGATCCCAACCAACCAACCAATTCGGTCGGCGTTCGAGGCGTTCGAGAAAGGCGTGGCTCGCTGAAGTGCCTCGGCGTCCAGCAAGACGTTCTCAGGCTTCAAATCCCGGTAGACCACGTTGCGCTCGTGCATGGCTTCCAGCATCAGCAGCAAGGAGCCCACGTAGAACCTCAGCTTCCCGAAGTATCCGCTTCCGACCCAAGGAGCCCCCCGCAAAAAAAAGGGTTCGAATCTCTCTCGAGGAACAGACTTCACATGTTTCTTGGGCAAACTCTCTCATGCGTCCTTAGTGGCTTGGGCATTTGGCGGCCCCAAAACAGCAAAGAGAACTGTCGTTTTTTTGGTGTAGAGCTGTCATGTTTCATAAGGTTCACCAAGGTGAAAGGTCAGACTCAAACAATTTGGGTGAATTATCATATTTCACCAACCTGAAACAAGGTGGTTGGGGGGCTATTCCCCACATAAACCACCATTTGGGGTGAATTCGGTCGTGTGAGGTCGCTATGATTCACCCAGAACAATGATAGCAACTCAGTCAGAGCCATGGCTTCTGGAGCTGGCCTCAAGCTGGCAACACATCAAACACCTTCTTGACAATATTCTAGGGCTTGATTCCAACCATTCTTTTCAACCATCGTTCTTTTCAAAAACCGGCAGTTTCCCCTGGGTGTTGCTGGTTTCCTGAAAAGAAGGATCCCCAAAATTGGGCAGGTACCCCGAGAAATATGCCGAGTACGCTGCTCCTGCTGAGGAATACATGAGCGATTAGCATATGCGGAGTGCGCCAAAGGACATGCCTCGTTTGGCTGAGTCCCCTACATGTTTGTGGGGTGTGTGGCTCACTTGCTGGGATCTAGAAATCAAATCGGAAATCTATTGGGAGCTTAAAACCAAGAAGGGAAACCAAGAAGAAAAACCAAAAAGGGAAACCAAAAAGAGAAACTACACGTGAACCAAAAAGGGAAACCGAAGATTGACAGGTCGACCTTGAACAAATGAGTTGGCTTTGTCCAGGTGTTTGCCTCCGACGTGTGCGTGCATTGAGGCTCGACGCCGTTGGGGGTTGGTTCAAAGGGCACAAGCAAAAACCACCATTGGTAGGGTTCCGCTATTTAGACACATACCCCTTTGAACCATTCAGAAAGCGCCGACTTGCTCTCAAGTTTACCCGAACTGTCACACACACACATCGTCACTGTCACTCCGTGAATCGAACTGAGCCGCAGGGAAGAAACTCGAATGCTTTCTGTTAAGTCTGAATCAAATTCACAAACATCATCCCTGGAAAGTATTGATCTCATTAAGCAGCTACTTCCCCAAGATCCACCTAGCAGTTCCATAACAACTCGGTGGACATCATCTGGGATTGCAACCAAAAGCTGTTTGGGAGGGTGGTTCAAGCATCACATATTCACCGCATCATGGTTGCTTGACATGGGATGCCTTTTTTGCGGACGTCTTTTTGACACCCCCCGCTCCCCCAGGCAAATTTGTCGATCCCCACAACGAAAAAACAACAGGCACATAGGGATAAGAATTTGAATGGGCCCGGAGCCGTGGACATGATTTAGATGGGAGCTCATGTCCACCACCTTTTTGAACCTCACCTCAAGGACCTACAAACAAAACTCGGTTGCGAAATCTGCTCCCCTGCGAAAAGTGACTAACTTTTAGTGGTCTAATATGGAAAACCCATTGGTTGGCAAAAAGTTAAAGTCCTAGCATCCAAGCACAATGCACCAAAGAAAAGGTACACCTTTGAGACCTGTAAAAGTGGTCCGGGTTGAAGGCTGGCTTTCAACAACTGCCCTCGTGAGTCCATGGTTATTTTTCCCAAATGGCCCATAGACACACAAACTATGGGTGCACATGAAAGGGGGACATGACCTAGGTGGGGAGCCATGGACCGCCACTTCTGTTAAACATTTTGAAACATCCATAGCCTGCAATATAGGGGTTGATGCCCCATTCTTTTCAACCATCGTTCTTCTCAAAAACCAGCTGTTTCCCCAGTTTTTTTGTTTTTAAAGAAGGATGCCTGGAATGGAATTAGAAGGTACCCCGGGTTTCCTTGAGAACCATTTGGGTTTTCCCAAAATTGTGGTTTTCCTCTTAGGTTTTCCTAGGTGGGTGGTGAGTTTACCCCAAACAGCTGTAGCCTCCAAAAAAGAAAGAGACGCCGTCCATCTCCCCGGCCATGCTGAGACCATGGCATGGCCTGCTCGCGGCTGAACACCGTGTTGATGGAGCGCATGGCTGCGTAGAGCCTCGCGCGCGTCGGGGGCGGCCCCAGCCAGTTTGTTTTTGGCTAAAAGGCGACGGGGTGAAACAAGGTCAAAGGATTAAAAACAGAGTTCCCCCACAAATCAAACTGTTCAAACCTCAGGGTCAACATCTTGCGGCTACCTCTCAAGCTTTCCAAAGGGGTTGGTCGCAGGTTGTGTTTATTGTAGCAACCAAGCCCCAGCCCCCCCTAAGGGGCATCAAAAACTGTTCACACATGAAACAACTTATTCTAAAAATCAAGAACCAAACTTATTGGGTCAAATGCAAGCTTCTTGCACAATAATTTGCTACAACTCACAGCACATAACCTGGAAGCTGCGCTAACCAAACGCCGCAAATCAGGCATCAAAAGCCAACTTTTCGGGCATGGCTAGGGTTTGTTTGTTTGGAGTTTGTTCGGGGTGGGTTTGCGGTGGGTTGGTTCAGGGTCGGTTGGTTTATGGGCGCCATACTTCTGCAAACCCAGGACAAAACGTATTAGGTATCAAGTGCAAACTTATTGGGCATTTTTCTTGGGGGTGCACTGTTGACATTAACAGATGTGCCTTGTGTGATTGACATTAGCCATTTTGGCCCTTCCAAATGCAGCTCACAAAGCCCTGATTGGGCAAGGGGGTTGCAAGCTCGGCTCCCCACTACGAGACTCGTCTCAGTTTTCAAAAGAGGATATCCTTTACTATCCGCCAAATCCACAATGGTTATTGGAAAAAGGGGCTCGTTTTGTAGTGGTTGATGTCAACGGGAAAGCCCTCCGAAACGGAACACGCGCGGAGTTACCTCGCAAAGCTGATCCATCTCTTGCGCATTGAGTCCCTGTTGGATGGGCTAAGCATGGCTAAGAGGTTTGTTTAGGGTTGACTTCAGGTTGGTTTAAGCTTGGCTTGGGGTTGGCGGATTGGTTTAAGCTTGCTTGAGGGTTGCTGTAGAAAGGTGTTGGATTGAAGCTTGGTTTTAGGGTTGGCTTCAGGTGGGTTGAACGCTGGTTTAGGGTTGGTTTGGTGTTTATGGTTGGCTTAGGGTTGGCTTCAAGGTTGGTTTCAATTTGGTTCAGGGTTCGGTGAGGCTGGTTTAGGGTTGGCTCAGGGTTGGCTTAGGGTTGGTTTAGGGTTAGGATGGGTTGAGGGCTAGGCCGATGCAGGGTTGGTTTCAGGACAAAGCCTGATACGTGATTCTTTGTTGGATACGATGTCTTTAGGGGGTGCTTTGGGAATGGCTTGCGGCGCCTGTCTGTGGGGGAATCAGTGGGGATGTCTTCGGGGGTGTCTTTCAAGGACGTCTTCAGTTGTCTTGGGCGATGCCTGTGGACACCTTGGGAAGTGATTTTGGGAGGTGTCTTGGGGAGCTGTCTTGAGGAGGGCTTCCTTGTGGCGTGGCCTTAGGGCATGGGGGGTGGATTGTCTGTGGAGGGTGTTGGCAGTTGCCTTGGGCAATGCGTTTGGCAACAACTTTGGGGAGTCTCCGGGAGCATGCCTTTAGGGAATGTGATAGGATTTCTTTGGGGGTGTCCTTTGGCGTGTCCTTGCGGGTGTCTTCGGGGTCGACTGTGTTGGGCTGTGTCCGCGGGTGCGCTTGATGCGCCTTAGGTCGCGCAACTCAGTTTCCGAAGAGCAAGCCTTGCAAGCGTGCAGGCAAAGCGCGCAAGTCAGAGAGCAGCTTCCTCAGGCTGTCGCAAGGAAAGCGTTGCAAAGAACGAATTTGCAAACGCGCGTGTTGCTGCGATCTTTTCGTGACACGGCGCGTGCGACCTGGTGTAGTACATGCTGCATGTTTGTGCTTTGTCGTCGCAGAAGCTGAGTCTCACGCCACCCGAAGAGTCGCAAAATAAATTACAAAGGTAGATTTGGCAAGTAATCCGCTTTCGGGTTTGTGGCTTGTATCAGGGTTTCTAGACACCCTGCCCGAAAAAACAGTCGGCTTCCGGGGAGAAAACAACACGACAATCCGAGTTGCGTCTTGAGATCGCTTGCCATTCCCAAAGGGTACCCGGTCTGTCTAGGGTCACCCTTTTATGGGATCCTGTCCAGGCAAGCCCGAGAACCCCTCCCCCCCCATTTTCTAGAGAAAGAGGGATGGTTCACCTGGAAAAGGAGTTTGTCTCATGGAAGCCAAACAACATGGGCCTCCGGTCCGGGCCTCCTTTTGGTTTGACCCGCGCGATCTATCTCTCATGTCCGCGCGTAACCTTCGGCGAATCTGAGGCCGCGGCTCACCGCCGCCCACATACTCCGCCAGGACATAGATGTTGCGCTGCGTCTCCAAGGATTTCACCTCACAAACACGCAAGAACTCGGTGGGGGATTCTGCTCCCCTGCGAAAAGTGAATAACTTTCAGTGGTTTAATACGGAAAACCCATGAGTTGGCAAGAAAATCATGGCACAGACTTGGCTGTAGCTCAAAAACGTGGTACCAACATGATGCCTTGGTAAATGGAACCAAAGACCAAAACCTGCGTAGCCCTAGCTAATTCAATTTTGAGCCTTCCCAAATCACACGCAAGAGGTTGACATTGATGGTCTGAAGGGTTTGAACTGAGCCCTAGGGCGTGCAAAGCATATATCATATAACTGGGGGGGGGTCACTAAAGGATGAGAATTGTTTAGGAAAAGCAGCACTGCAACTTGGCGCCAAACCCAGCATAACACTCCAACCTCTTTGAGCCGTTCCCTTGACACCGGCCGGTTCTGCAACACAAATACCACAGGAAAACCCAAAACAAGGGGGGTCCGCCAAAAAGAGTCTCCCTGACCGGAGTCTGATCCAAGAAACTTCACTTGAGGTTGGCACCAGGTTAAGCGGATGCCAAGAGGAGGCCCAGTTCAGGGCCCAAGCTCTGAGACATCATCTCAGTGTTTCTCAAAAGAGGGGTTCTTTGTTGGATGTTTCGGAAACTAAAGGACACCAACCATGTTGGATGTGTTTAAATGGAAATCAGACTGATGCCAACCATCTGAAGGGTCCCAATTCTTGAGAATCTCGGCCGCTGCTTCCTGCCTCTGACAGGGCACTGTCCTACATGAGGTGTCCAGGGATGTTTAACTGGAAGACCTCCACGAACACGTTCCCTAGGACTTGCCGTTGGGACCCATCTCCATCCTCAAAGGCCCACATCCGAATGTTCTGACCGAGCGCGATGTGCAATAAGCCTTCAGGAATTGCCAGCCAGGTTAAAGACATGAGCATGTGGGGCGTCGAATGGCTGCCACTCCGAGGCGGGTTTCTTCAGCCTGTCCCCCGACGGGCCCCTGGTGTTGACTCCGAACCTCCTGGTAAGGCGACTCTCTCCTAACCAGCAACTACCCCAATCTCCCGTCGATGGGAC